GACAGAAGGGACCCGTTTGTTCAACACTTCTGCACAGCCACGGGCATTGTTTCCAGGCGAGCCCGGTGCTTCTTGGGCAAATTGAAGCCACACATGGAGCGGATGAGGCCCCTGCACAGCCGGAACATTGCCAGGGGGGTCGAAACATGTCAAAGCTGAAAAAAAGGCCCTGGCAGCCAGCCCTACCTTCTTCTCGAGAGCTGTGGCTGTGCCTACCACTGCGTAACTGAAACAGGCAAGAGGAGACCAAAACCAGTGTCCTGTAGAGACAGTCCAGTCCCTTGCAGAGTGATCTGCGGCGCACTGTTGGGCAAGCGCTTCGTCTCTGCGTGCCTTCCTGGAATGTGGATGGGATGATTTATGTCTGTCAGCGTGAGGGCTGCTTCCACAGAGACTTGCAAACTGTTGAGTCTAAACCAACAAAGCCGAAGCCCCCAGACTGTTCTTGCCACCAGACTCCTGCTCAAAAACATCTCTGGGCAGTTTGAAAGCCCCAGGTGACCACAGTATCCCCAGGTATGGTCCCAACTGTAGTTTCAGTGGCTTTAAAAGCCCCTTGTTTTCTGTGCAAACTTGAATTTTACCTGTCCCCAAGGAGTCAACATCCCTGCAAGAACTTGGAGGAGCTTCAGACGAGTCGTGCTTGGTTCACAGTTTTAGCTATACAAAGATTAAAAACCCAAAAGTACAAAGCCTTTTCTTTTAATGGAATGAGTCTTGCAGGGAAGCTGTGCTGAGGGACATCAGCTATGCGGCACTGCCAACCACAGGCATTCAAAAGTCATGAGTCAGACTCCCCAAAAACCCGAGACCTGTTTTGTTCCCTTCTGGATTTTGAGCCTGGAAGCATCACAGCTTCAAGCTTTTCTCTTCAGAAAACGACATTTTTGAACACTGGGGTGGGAGTGCTGAGACCCTCACATCATCCCTGGGCTCCAGGAGTCCTGACTGTAAAAAGCCCATTAAACACCACGAAACGGGCAATAAACCCCTGTGCTGCCTCCTGGGATTAGGCCACCCAGGACACAGCAAGGGGTAGAAGCAGTGACGAGAAAAGACGTGTTGTTACCGTTAGTGGTGACATGCTTGTTACAGGCCATGGCAGGGCAGAGGAGAAGGGAAGAGTGAAAAAAAAGAAAGCCCTAAGGAAAAAAGCAGCAGGGATACCTGCGAGGAATATGCATGATAGGTTTATTCAACAGTGAAAGGGAAAATTTTAAGGGCAAATATTCAGTAAAGCTGCCTAAAATGGGGCCAGGCCTTATGAAGCATAGGTATTTTAAGTGGCAATTTATTCCACTAATAAAAAAAAGAAGGATGCAGGTGCTTTGGCAGGGCTGTGGACGGGACCAGGTGAGCACTGCGGCAGTTCAGAGATGAGTCTGCAACACAAGGGGCTCAGGCGCAGCTGGTGGCTCTGCCTTTATTGGGCTCTTTTTCCCTGGTGTTCAGATCCCTGCTATCCAGAAAGCACAACCCACACCAGCGACCTGTGCGACAGCTCTGGCCACAGGCTGCAGTGGGTGGTGAGAGGTGTTTTACCCAGGTGCTGCAGCCATGCCTTCTCCAGCTGGGCAGGGAAGGGATTGTGCCCATGGGCTGCTTCACACTTGCACCAGGTCCTTTCACACCAGGAGGTTTCCTGATCAAATTCCCAGGGCAGAGCAGCAAGAAGACAAGGAACCTTTGCCAGATGGATGGTGCAGTGCTCATTACATTGCTCAGGGCTCCTTGGGGCTGACTGTGCTGCTCCAGGGCCACGGCTCTTGAGCATCATCCTGGCCAGGCCGTCGTCCAGCTTTTCACCACCATTCCTAAGACCAGAATGTACAAGTCACAGTGTTGTGGAGATGAAAAGCTGGACTCTGAAGTAATGGAAGTGGTAAACAATGCTCTGCAGTAAGCACTGAGCTGGCGCAGCCATCCGTGCATACCTGCTCACATTGAACTTGGACGGCAGCACCGCAACTTGCAGCCCGTATAGGAGCTGCAACCTTGACCTCCATTTTAGTGCCATTATCACCATTATTTCAAACCAGTTGGTAACTGGGGGCACACGATGGAGCAGGTTTCAATTCTGAGGCAGTCTACACCCCACACAAATGAAAGATCATCCTATACTTAGTCCAAGAAGAATATGCTCTCAATACTCACAATAGGCCCAGGCTCCTCATTCTCTGTTCCAATATATACTGCTTTCAAACTATCACCTTAATATTAAAAATAAAACAAAGCTATCTATGTCTCTCTGTTTTGCTGCAGTGTCTGTGTTGAAAGGGTAGGCGTGCTTACAGAAAATCATGGTTAATGTTACCCTGGAAGGATCCAGGAAAGCGTACCAGAACCTGGTTTTGGCATCTGGGAACAAGTTTTCAGCCATATGTATCACCATTGCTGCGTGCACTCTGATCCACACAAAATTAGCCCTGTGGAATGTGGATGTAAGATTTGCTTTCCAGAAGTACTTAAATGCACAAGCTAATTTGCTTTTTCTACATTTCCTACCTGTTTAGGAGAGTGGGAGCAAAGTCCTGGTCCTTTGTTCCTGGGCTCCTCCCTCGGAAGGTCTGCAAAGCCCACGTCTCACACTGCGGCTCATTTGCAGCCTGAACAAAGACCTTTTAAGCAGCAGCTCCCAACAGGAGCTCGTCACCTGCCTGCCCCTTGCCTTGCACTTCACTTTGGGGTCTCTTTTTTAACAATGGCTGGAACACGTGTGCAAAACGGTGGGATTTTTTCCCCTCAGTGCCTACAGCACTGGCTGCAAACCAAACACCAGCCCCAGCTGTGCAGCTGGGGGAGAAGAGGGAAAAAGCAACCCCCCCGACAACCTGTGGAATGTTTTCTTGCTCCCGACAACTCCAACACTTCCCTGCTCAGGGGAGTGCTCGCCACAGTTGGCACTTGCTGCATTCAGCAGTCAGCCGGGGTTTCCTTTCCAGTGGGCTGCAGCTGGACTCTGGGCACAGGATGGGGACGAGGGGAATGCATTTAACAATGGTGTGATCGTGTTCTCACCTGATGCCACTTGGCTTATGGCACAACCACCAGCCTTGCAAGGCCTTGCAGGTAGGCGGCTTGTCACATCACTGCACGGCTTTGCAAATGGTCCCACAAGGGTGTGGGTGGCTCCTTTGCACCCAGATGTGGAAGTCTGTGCTCACCAGCAGGTTCCGAGCTGTGTCCTCACCTCTCTGACACCAGCCTCATGGCCACAGAAGCAAGACGGATGTGGTTTTGCTTAGCCAGGAACCCAGAGCAGTTTGTGCAACCAGCCAACCCCATCAGGACAAGCACTGCTGTGCGGTGGCCCCACCACCTTCCTTGGTCCAAGCAGCTAATGGAAGAACAACAGGGAATAAAGGGTATGTCTGAGAATGTGGCAGAGGAAAGGAAGAGGTACTTTGGGGCACACTGGCTCTCGGTTCTGATTTCTGCCCAGGACCGGATGTCTGGGGAGGAGCAGGTATTCATGTGCTGGCCTGCAGGGATTAATTTGCACAGTAAATAGGGACATGGGTTTTTCACTATTTATTGGTAGAGAGATAAAATTTTGCAGGGGTTTGCGGCAAGTTTATGGCTTGTCCATGCAGGAGGGCAGCCGAAGACATGGTGTGGGCAGCATCCCACAGAAGGATGCTGCCTGCAGCCAGATAGAGAATGTGGATGGTTCCTGCAGTATCAGCTAAAAGCAGGAGCCATACCCAGCTCATCTCTGCTGAGCCCCAAGCAAGGCTCTCAGCACAGCCCTCTCAGATCAGTGTTTTAATACTGTCATGCTATTCTCACTGCACACACACCACCCCATTGCTCCCCCTCCTGGAGTCCTTTCCAACCTGGAGTGGTTTAAAGAGCATTCTTTGCTGTGTGCATCCTTTTTCCCAGCGGACCCCTCCCGGGGAGAGGCGAGCCCATCCTGTCGGCCTCAGGAATGGTGGCTCATACCACAGCTCGCACCCTCCCCCCAAATCCACAGCCACGAGGGCGGTTGCTCAAGTGCAGCATTCCTGGTCCCTGCGTCCTGGGAACAGCTGTACCGAAGAGATGCCGAGAATCCATGAGAGGCTCCAAGGAAAAGATATTAACAGGGAAGCAGCAGCGGTATCATAAAAGTCATAACAAAAGAGAGAAGCCACTGAGTGCATTAACAGCCCCAGCGCTGGTTGGCTTTTGGTCTCCTTCCCTCCAGCTTTTCTGCTCAAATTCTTCCATCCCAGAGAAGCTCAGCTCCTGAATTTCAGACAGAGCTCCTGGAGGTGGCCACGCTGCAAAAACTGAGGGCATGGCTGGGAAACTTCACTGCACTTAACTCCACCAAGTGCACAGGAGGGCACATAGGCACGTAGCTGATGTTATAGACCCTGCATCAAATGGGCTCCCCAGGCCTGTGCTCTGCTAGAGCAGGCCCACTTGCTCCAGGAATGTCCTTGTGAGGAAATAAAAGGCAGATCTGGAGCTTGGTGTGTGTTTCTCAGGTATGGCAGAAGTAGCAAGACACATCCCAGTGTTTTAGAATTGCCTGGTACCTGCCATGTACCAGTTCTTCCCTACTTCATGCCAGTGTGGCACAGAGGATGCTTCTTCTCTGCAGGGCTGCTCCAGCAGCACTGACCCAGGGTTGGCACAGGGGCAGTAGGATGCAGATGTAGGGTCTCCCCATGGGGAGCAAGCAAACCCTCAGTCCTCACCCACCCTGCATCAGCTCTGACGCTCAGCACAAGGCATGCAAGGACGACATTCCCCTGGCTCCTTTAGGAACACCGGCACAATACTGGGGGCACAGAGCATCTGCTGCAGGAGCCGCCGGCTGTGCCAGGAATGTGGCTGATGGGGAGAGCCAGGAGCAGAGGGGCGGCTGCGGCAGCAGCTGCTCCCTACCCGAGCCCTCCCTGCCCAGGACATTTAAACTTTAAAGCACACTCGACACAGCTCTTCCCTGCACTGCCCCTGTCCAGCGCGCAGAGATCAGGTCCCGGGAGCCGGCAGCACACAAGGCACCCATGGGCTCACTGGTGGCCAAGCTCCTTCTGCCCACCATCAGCACCTTGGTCTTCCTCCCCACCATCAGCATCGCAGCCAAGCGGCGCTTCCACATGGAAGCCATGGTCTACTTCTTCACCATGTTCTTTGTGGCGGTAAGATGCACCCAAACCCTCCATGTGTGTTGCATCCCCCCTGGGATCCTGCCCGCGGCAGTGGTCTCCATGGGGAGGGGTACCTGGACCTCACCCAACAGCTGCTGCTGGTGCGACCCCCAGAATATCCGTTTTCAGTTATTTCCCACCATGCGCAGTGCTGACGCTAATTCTTCAGTTTAGGGTGTCCTAAGGGGTGGCCTTACATAGATTTAATGGTGGTTTATGATTGTGAGGTTAGGGAGAGGGTCTGGGTGCAGAGACTTGATTGATTTGCAATGTTTTGGAGCTGGTTTTTCTCTTTGTTTTACAGCTGGTAAGTGGCCATGCTGAACTTGGGGTTTAAATTCTATCCAGAGTCTCTTTCTATGCTTCTGTCAGTTTAGCCAAAAGCACGGAGTCGAATTATTGATTTTGCAATTGCTGACTGGTGGTGGGAGCAATGCTGGAGTCAGGGGAGTTTCTGCACTGTGAAAGGAAAGACTAAGACTTGCTGAGCTATCAAGAAACATTATTATTAACCCTCCATCCTGGCAGAGCAGTTAGGAGCCATGTGTTTCACCAGGCTCGGGATCACCCTCCTTCCCCCCCTGGGAATAATGTGTGGAGAAAGTCAGTTGTCTTTACTTACACAAAGTAATTAATACTCCTGCTCCTGGAAGTAAGCTGCCCTGCACTCTGTATTCCTGCCTCTGCACACACATGGGCTGAGCACCTAAAGCAGCATCCCAGTAGGAAAAATCTCCTATTTAACCCCCTGACAATGCTCTGCTAAAGAATATGAAGGAAATAGCCCAGCAACCCAACCAATACTGCATTTAGCTCTTTTCCCCACCTGTCTCAAGGCATCTCCATGATGGTTGTCACATCCCTTGCACAGGAACAGAGAAACTGAGGCAGAGAGTAGATAAAGGACCTTCCTGGTGTGTAAAACTCTTCCACATTAGCAGGACTCTGAGCAAGGCCAGTCTTTTAGTCCTAAGGATCCACCATTTAATCCTACAATTAAAACACAATGCAGGTGGGAAAATTCTGCCAGTTCCATCAAAACTACAGGACTAGTTAATAAAACCGTCCCATCTGAGCCCCCCCTCCCCCCCCCCCATCTCCCCAGGGAAGCCAGACATCTATGATTCCACTCGCACTGGGGTTGTGTCTGCTTCACCTCCCCAAGAAGTCAATAGGAAAATTGGCATGGGTTTCAATGGGAGGTGAAATAGGTCCTCAGCAAAGAGCCTGAAGAGGCAGAATATCTGTGTGTGGGGAAGGGAAGGGAGCTGACAGCAGGGTCAGGGGGAGGGAGGAGGAAGGACAGCAGCTGCTGCTGTTGCCTTTCTTGTAGCATCCCACTCCTCCTCCCCCAGGAGACCTCATCAGTGTAGTGAAAGCAGATGTCCGTAGCAGACAAGTGCTGCGATGCCAGCCAGAAACACGCTCTTTGTCTTCTACCATTTCTTCCCCGTCTCCAGACTCCCTGAGCCCTATCTCAGACGGAGAAAAGAATTATGGCTGTGGTGCAATCTTTTCTAGAAACTGCTGCGAGCCAAAGGATTTGCAGCTATTCCCATTATAAATAATATCAGCATCCCTGCTGGGCCATGGCAGCAGGGACTGTTCCAAGGGCATCCTGCCAAGCAGCGAAGGGGCTTCTTCAGAAACAGCCGAACACACTGGTGCTACCAGACCTGCAGGGCTGAATGCTCAGAGGAAAAGGGGAGCGCCAGGCAAACATCGGGAGCATTCCTCTGGTTGCACTGGAAAATTTCTCTTGGCTGGGTCTGCATTTATGTTGCATGACAATGGACTTTTTGCAAATAACCTGATCAACGAGCTAATGGGCAGCAGCCAGTGGCTTTTAAGAGACTGCACTAATGAGTGAATTCCCCACTATTCAGACTCTGGCCATGCAAACCCCATCTCGCTGGCTAGTGACCTGGCATCCACACACATTTCATCAGGACACTCATTTTGAATTGTTTTACAAGAACCTTTTGCAATTAGAACCACAACCCCAGAGTCCTTCTTCTGCTGGAGAGGATGTCCTTGCACTGCCTGGGGCTCGGCTCGATGCAGCTTGGTCACAGAACCATAGAATCATAGAATCACAGAACCCTTTAGGTTGGAAAAGACCTTTCAAGTTGCTCAAGATGGTCTGCTCCATAACCTTCCCCTCCACCAAGGTCAGGCTGACAGCCTGTCATTGCCCAGATCCTCCTTCCAGCTCTTCTTTAGAGATGGGCATCCCATTTGCTAACTTCCAGTCAATTGGGACCTTCCCAGGCCATCAGATTGCAAATTCTGGCACAGATCAAGATGCCAGCAAAAGCTCACCCACACATAATGCAGGCTAAGGGAGAAGAATTCTCATTCTCAGGAAATGTGTGACATGTCTCAAATACATTCATTACTGTGTACCAGTAACCCTGGTGCATTTGAGACTGTATTGTTATGGCTGGCCATCCTCTCAAAAGCCATGCAAAGGCTGTTTCAGACCAGTTGGTAAGAGCTTTTACCTCACTGCTCAGTGAGTAAACAACTAGTTTGCTAATCCTTTCTTTTTTTTTTCCTTTCCTTTTCTCTAGATTTACCATGCATGTGATGGCCCCGGCTTATCAGTGCTGTGCTTCATGCGCTACGACATGCTGGAGTACTTCAGCATCTATGGGACAGCTCTGTCCATCTGGGTGTCCCTCATGGGTAAGCACTGGTCTCTCATGGTTCCACCGGTGTTTGCAGGTCGGGCAGGATTTGTCAGCATCACTGGTGGGATGGTTAGTGGGTTCAGCTCCCAGAAACCCTGATGCCTTTGAGCTCCCATCTACAAGACTTAGCTCTGAGACTGTCTTTTCTGGCAGTCAGCCCATGCTATGGTTTAATCCATTTTTGTATCACTAATGACTTGGAAAGCTATTGCACTCAGTGGGGTCCAGGCATACACGAAAACCGTCCTGGGTGGTGGCTGGGGAAGTTTCTCTCTTGGATAAACAGAGCTGTGGCACCCGCATTTGCGTTAGTCGGGTGCTCCCCTGCCCTCATCAGCTCTTCTGCATGTCCTTACAACAGTAGAATTCTCTATTTCAAATTGGCAAGTCACACATGAAGCCTTGTGCTTTAGTTCAAAGCAGGACAGTACTATGCCATGACTTAGTCTGAAACCTTGTCTACCAGGGAATCTCCCATTTCCCCTTTTTCCCACGCTGAGCCCATCAGCTTGTCCTGTCCTGACTTGGGTGACATTAAGACATGCAGAATCTACCATTTCCCTTGGTAACATGCAAATCAAAGTAGTTTTAGTCAAAACAAATATATCTTCCTAGTCTATCAAAACCCTAGTCTGGGTTGACGGGAAATACTAGATCTGCTTAGAAAAAACAGAAATGTATTTTACTTCCTTTTTATAAAAATTCCTGTCCCTTTCCCTGTTCCTCAGTTTTCCTTTTCCCACATTCCCTTTCCTCTTTTTTCTCATTTTGTCCCTTGTTTGCCACTGAGACAAGGTATAACAGATTTAAAAAAGAAAAGTCCACTACTAAAGAAGGATGAAAAATTCAAACCAGTTATGTGAAGGTCATGAGTATTTCTGATAGGAGAAGAGAGCAGGGTAAGGGGAAAGACATGGGACAGGCACTCAGCAACAAAGGCTTTGCTCGACAGACCCAGACCTTCTCCAGTAGCTGCACACCCAGTCCCTGCTCCAGCCAGACAGGGTCCCCAGCCCTCCCAGGGCTGAACTGGGGTCACCACACTGATGTAAAGCCCCCAAAACACCCCCAAGACTCTCCCCTCTTCTCCTTGAGACTCCAGGAATGGTGCAGGACCTCCAGCCAGGATGGGGGGCTCCTGCAGCTCCTGCGTCCAGCACGAGCCGTGGGGCAGCATCCCCTCCACTGGCCACAGACCCATCCCTCCTCCCTTCACCACTGAGCAGTGCAGAGAGCATGAGCCCCCTTCTAGGATATGCAACAGGATAACTCTTCCATGCAAGGAAAACTGAGTGGGGAAAATATTAACCTTAGAAATGGCTCTGTCCCCCCCGCTGCAAGTCCCAAGGGGGACTCCCAAACTGTCCATGGCACTCCAAGGCTCTCTCTGCTCAGCTAGAGAAGGCAATGAGGAAAACCATCTCCAAAGGGCATTTTCAGTAGATAACAGCAGTGTCAGGGTAGGTCAGAGCTGATCCAGACACTCTGGCTCCTTGCAGCAAAATTCAATTTGATTGCTTCATTACTGCGTTCAAAAACCTTGCAAAAAAATACAAATCCTGGACTCCAGTGTTTAAAATATTGACCTGCAGGGAAAAAACAGAGATTAAAATACGGACATTATCCCTTAGCCAAACTCCCTATAAAACCATGATCCAAGGACATGGAAGGTGTGGTGACTGAAGCCCAGGGAAGCCTCTTGCTGTGGCTTGTAGAGCCCAATTGCACATGTGTGGACTCAGACCCTTGGGCACACTTCCCGGAATGCAAATCCAGGACAGCCATAACACAGCTGTGCGAGTTGGAAAAGCATGGAGCCCACTGGGATCCATAACTTTTATCAGTTATTACCCCATTCTGTGCTAAACAAAAGCCTCTAATAATTCACTCGCACTGGCGACTTCCAGCTTGGAACCTCCGGCAGGTGCTGGCGGGGCCGGGCAGCCCAGTCCCATCGCTCAGTGAGCACCGTCCTACCACAGCAGTGTGGTGGAAGCTGCTTAGGGCTGAGCCAGCAACTTCGGGAGGGCTGGAGATGCAGGACAAACCCAAGAGCTGATGGAGAGCTCACTGGGTGCAAATGTGTTTGCAATCACCTCCGACTTCTGGGTCGAGGCAGGGAAGGGGAAAGGTAGGAAATCTCCTTTAGCTCCCACACACAACACTGAATGTAAGACCCCTAAAATCAGCTCCTAGACCCACCACTCAGATGTCTCAGGGTGGTTTGCTTTGCCCCCATGTGCCTCGGTTTCCCCATCAGGGAGGCATAAGAAGGGCAAACCAGACCTGGATGCTGAGGGTCCCCAGGGCAGGCAGGACAGGCCCCAGTAAGACTTTAGGGGAGCAGCCAAAGATGAGGGTGGGTGAGCTGATACCCCCTGTGCTTGGTGCCATGCAGCCCTGGCAGAGTTTGATGAACCGAAGAGATCGACCTTTGTCATGTTTGGTGTCCTCACCATCGCCGTGAGGATCTACCATGACCGCTGGGGCTACGGTGTCTACTCAGGACCCATTGGGACGGCCGTGCTGGTGATAACCATGAAATGGGTATGTAGGGAAAGGCTCAGGCCATCACAGTGGTTAAACAGAACTTCTCCTTCAACCTGAGCAGAAAGCAGGCAGACAGCAAGCGGCCCCACTGATAAATGCCAGATTCTATCAGTCTGAGCAATCTACCACATCTTCTGTCCCTGCATTTCTAATCAGGAGGAACATATTTATAGAGTTTTTACAGCTACTCAGAGGCAGAGGGGTCCGGTAAGCTGCCCCGGAGCCAGTGGAGGATGTGCATAAAACACAGTGATAAAGTGGGAAGGAATCTGCCTGTAGCCTGCCTGCACCAGGCTGGGACAGCCGGGCACTGAGCTGCATCCTGTGTCCTGCGCACAGCAGATTCCACAGACCCAGGCAGGAGCACACTGGTGGAGCCACTGGCAGGAGAGGGCAAGGAGAAGGATCCAGTGATGGGATAAAAACTGCAGGAAGATGCTGCCAAGCATCACAGAAATACAGTGCTTCAAGTCCCAGCTGTCTACCGTCACTAAGTCCTGTCCAGCTGCTCAGCCAGCAGCTAAAAGCAAGTGGCCATGATGAGGAGGGTATGAGCAAGGAGGGGACCAAGGCAGGGGATTACCCTGAATCCCCCAGCTGGCAGATGCTGTGCTGGAACCCACTCTCCCAGAGACTGGGCTTGCGAGGGCACACACTCCCTGAGCCAGTTTTGGGGCTGAATATTAAGAAAACATTATGATCATGAATGAGGCAGGAAGACCTATTGCAGCACACGGGTCCTCCTGCACATCACAGGCAGAGGTGCTTCCTGTGTGCAGGCAGACGTCACAGCTGAGCGGAGCTGCTCTGGGGGTCTTGCCTGGTTTTATTTCAGCATTCATTGGATCATTCAGACACGGAGCAGCAGCTAAATCCGGGTCAATACCCTTGGTATGCTCTCTCTTTCCTTTCAGCTACAAAAGATGAAAGAGAAGAAAGGGCTCTATCCAGACAAGAGCGTCTACACCCAGCAGATCGGCCCTGGCTTCTGTTTTGGGGCATTAGCACTGATGCTGAGGTTCTTCTTTGAGGTATCTGTTTGCACACTCAAACTGATTTTACAAGGTGTAAAGGACATTACCAAGATAGGAGACCTACCCCCTTTGCATGCAGGGCTGCCTCCAGACTTGGACAAAACCCAGCTCAGGTCCCTCCCTGCTTGCCCCCATCCCAACCCCTGGCCCATTAATTGCAGTGTGGGCAAGGACAGACATGGCAGCAACTGACATGCAGGGTGATGCTCCCTCTTCCCCCCTGTTAAGTGAGTCACAAGGACATGGACCATGCTTTCTGTAGCCATATGTGGTCCTCAAAACAGCTTTATCAAACACGAGTGGTGGTTTTTGGATGCTGGGCATGGGTGACTTAAGGACAGTGTGCAGAGCCACGGCAGGGCTGGATACGGCCGAGGCATGGCCAGGTCGAAAGCTGGCTCACACCAAAGAGAAAATGATCCGTGGGCTCCCAGGGGCACTCAGTCCGTGCTTCCAGGCTCTTGCTCCTCCCGCTGGCCAGGCGCCTGTCTGGCACAGAAGGGTCCGTCGATCCCATGGGGACGGCGATAACCCCCGACACGGCTCCGATCCCGCCTGAGCCGAGCCCAGCCCCGCCGCAGCGGCCGCGCTGTGTGTCGGGAGCCACCGTGCACAACCCCGCAGCATCCCCAGGGGTGTTCTTCAAAGCATTCCGTAATTGCACGTTCTAGCAGAACATAAAACCGTCACTTAGCAGAAGCCACCTCCCCCCACACCACAGCCTCACCGCCACAGCCTTTGCGGGGTAATGAAACACTTCATTCAACGACTGGGAAACGTGCAAATTAGAATGTGCTAAATCCACTTTGCTGTTTTGTTTTAAAGGCTGCACATCCTTTCTTCTCTGACAGAAAAAGAGGCAGAAGGCTCAGGAATTCATTTTTATTCCTTTCCTTTTGGCTACTTATAGAATCCTGATGTTTTGCACCTAATACAAACACCCCGGCAGGTCTCTCTAACGCTCTCCCCATTGTAGGAGTGGGATTACACCTACGTGCACAGCTTCTACCACTGCGCCTTGGCCATGGCCTTCGTGCTGCTGCTGCCTAAGGAGAACAAGAAGGCTGGGACCGGCGGGACCCCCGCCAGGCTCGACTGCTCCACACTCTGCTGCTGTGTCTGAGGTGTCTGGCTGAGCAGGGCAGTGGCTGTTCTGCTCCTGAGGCCATGGAGGGGCACAGCCAAATGCCCACTGCATTTTCCTGTGGGACATGGGCATCTTTTCCCACCAGGTCTGGGCACACCCTGAGATTTCCTTCTCTGGAAGGTCTTCACCTTTCCACAGTCGGCCCTAGCAGATGTCGGGCTTCCAGATGGCCACACACCCATACTTCTCCCTTGTCCGGGCTGGTGAACCTGTCCCTGTCCCAGGAGACCCGGGCATTCCCAGGCTGTCACCGCCCAGGCTGTCCCTTGCACTGGCCCAGGAGGACCCGAATTGTCCCCTTGGTGCAGGCCTGCCCACGCCGAGTGCTCAAGGCTTCGTTTGCAATGCCCGCTTAACAGAACCTGTATTTTTGTGAGATGTTTACTGTTTTATTTATGCGTTCTCTTGATGTAAATAATACAAACTAACAAAGACTTCGCAAGTGTGAGATGCCAGCATTTCTTAAGCAGCACAAGACACTTCCCAGCTTAGCTCCACAGAGTCGGGGGCTGATGCCAGCCCCAGTGCAGAGCTCGGGGCGAGCACACCTCCTCCCCTGCCCACAGCCCGGCGGGCGCTGCGGCACTGGGCACGCTGTGCTTGCAGCCTGGCTCTGCTGCAGGTGCCTCCTTAGCATGGGAAGTGCATGGAAAATAGAGGCAGAGAAAAGAAGCTCCTGCGGGGGGTGGCAGGGGGAGGGAGTTGTGAGCCTATAACATCTCCTCTAACAGACTGTTTACTATAGCAGAAGTGTATGATTTATTTAGACTGTCTGGGAAAAATGCCAAGACTGTATGTCATGGACAATTAGAGCAGTATTGATATACAGTGATGTCCACAGAAAGCCCATATTAAGCCTGGGTTCCTCTGGAAGAGAAATCCATCCCAGTCATTCATCAGAGCAACTTCCTGCGACAGGGCAACAACCAAAACCAAATGGGCTTCCAACAAAAATATAAATGAATTATGAACCCTGAGCATCCAAGAGCCACTGGCAGGCGGTGGCACAGCTGATGCAGCTGCACACAGAGGCAGTGCTAGCAAAGAGTTTTCAAAGAGCTCAGCAACACCTAAACCAACACAACACATGGGGTCTTTTTCAGCATCCAGCCCTGGGGATGTTCTGCAAAATGTGCTTTCCCACTGCTTGCACACGGCTGGAGAACCTTCCCATGAGAAGACAGCTCAGGGCATCCCCAAAACATGGTCCTAAGTGCTCCAACTCCTGATACAGAGCCAAGCACAAGCAGCATCTCAGCAGCGTGTGCAAGAGCTGGTCCAAGGTTTAGCAGCCGCTTCCCGCAGCCGGGGCCGCACTGAGCACCCCAAGCACGTTTTCGGGTGCAAACACTCAGTGCTGACCCTCCCCAGGACCCAGACCAGCCGTGCCCACAGCCTCCATCCCACTGCATAGCCACGGCCACTCGCTGCAGCCACTGAGAAGTGGCACCTTAACTCCTGGCTCATTTGATGGCTGTTGGGTCCCTCCCGGGCTGGGGGGATATGCACAGCCCTGCAGGAAGCCACGGGCAGCGTGGGCATGGGGAGAGCCTTGTGCGGGTGAAGCGCCGAGAGGAGAGGCACTGGGTAACTGCAACACTTTACCACGACCGAGCAGGAGGGAAAATAGTTTGTCAAACCCCATGCAAACAAGGAGCACATGTCAGCTAAGGCCCAGCTGAGTAGATGAAAGGTCCTGCACCCACCTGCCATGTATTCAGGTGTTACACCAAGAAAACCACCCCAAGAGTACATTGCACACAGCAAAATCACAGGCAAGGTTGCCTTTTTCCTCTCTTGCTACTGCTGCCCCACGGCATTGCTCTGACTGTGCAAACCGTCCATCCGTTTCTGCCCTGTGCAGCAGGACCAGCACCACCCCTGGAGCCAAAGCGCAGCCAGGCACCTCTGCAGGGTCCCGGCTGGTGGCAGTGCCAGCACCCAGCAGTTCACAGCCGGAATTCGCTGTCACCCAGGCAGGATATCCCCTGCAATACAAATGCAGGGAAATATTCTAAACATTTTCAGCAACTTAGACAAAACAGTCTTACAACCTTTCAGCGCTGCCGAGAGCTTTGCCTGTAGGAGCTCTTGAGCCCCTGCCAAAAATTCTTGCTGTTTTCATAAGAGTAGGTGTTTTTGTCTAAGGTGCAGTCTGAGTGCTGTGACCTTTGTCATGTCTGCTACTGAAATTTCCTGCTTCTCTGTTATTCTCTTCTTTGGTAAGATGATATGAAACCCAAAACTTTTATTGCCCCTTTTAAAGTGTCTTTATAGCTCCCTGTCTACTTCATATACTGTCTTATTCTGAAACGCTGGGATATTACTTACGGGATCCGGGCTTGATGCTGCAAAAGGCATTTGGGTTTCATGAAGCCCAAACCGCCTGGGTTTTTTTAAGATCAATCGAGGGGGGGAAGAAAAAAATAAAGCAAAAAGGAAAGAAGGAATGAGAGGGGAGGGACTGGGCTTTCCGCTCCGGAGGCATCAGCATCTGCTGCCAGTGCAGCGGCGAAGAGCAGGGCCAAGGGCGGGCAGGAGCTGCCAGCAACCCCCCTGCTCTGCGATGCCTCCCCAGGCACAAAACCCCATTTGCTCTGTGCCTGGGCTAGCACGGGGTGCCTGCTGTCCCGTGCGGACAGCACTGCTCGGCCTCCCATCCCGCACCTCCGCCCCCTGGCAGCTCTGTCCCAGGGCCCGCAGCTCGGATGTGGCTGAACACGGCAGCAAGTGCCGAATCGGGCGTGCAGCGGCCGCCGCACATCTGTCTCGGGGCTGGCACTGAGAGGGGCCGGTCCTGCCCGGGGACTCCAAGCACCCCATCTCGCTGGTCAGCCTCGGTGTCGGAACAGACCGCATGCAGGACGCGTGTCCCAAGGCAAGGACTGAAGCCGGGCACCAGGGCCAAGGCTCTGTGCCCCCATCCCACTCCATCGCAGGGCTTCCCTGTACCCCGCTCGCCTCTGCACGCTCCCCAGCGCCCTCAGCCGCATGGGCGGGGGGGGGGGAACAGGACGGGACCCGGCCTGCGGAGGGGTGGGGGCTGGCCCTGGGCTGCAGCGATGGTGGAACTGTCTCCTCCAGGGACACACGCCCCCCCCTGCACTCACCTACAGCAGGGCCAGGACAAGGGGGAATGAGGACCTACTCTTGCTCAAGGGGAGGCTTCCAGAGATGTCTAGTCAGGCTTGGTGCCAGCTAATCTTCCAGGCAAACTTTATCCAGATCCCTTTGGCTGCAGAAAGTGAAAATCTAGCCAGACCAAAACATAAAAGCCTGGTTTCTGCTGCCAGCTCTACGGGGCACTCCAGAAAACATCTTATCACCATGTGATTTTGAAAGACTGCTTCACGTTTTGTTCCAGACGCTGCTCTTCCCTCCTCACCCTCGCACCACCATTCCTCTGTGCATGTTCAGGTTGTGAGCCAGCCCAGCCAGGTTAAATCACAGACCCTGGGGCCAAGGTTTTCCTTCTCCTCATTTTTATGCCCTTTAGGCCACAGTGGTGTTTCACTTCAGAAAGTCCTGTTGCTCCATCCTGAGGCACATGCAGCTCATTGAGAGCAGTGGTGGACAACCTAAGGAGATGCATCCACCAGGACTAACAGAGAAGTCCTGCCTCCTCTCTGACAGGGAAAGGAACCTGATTCTTCTGGAAATCTGAGTGCTGATTTCTTGTGCAGGGAGGAGCAAGAGCAATGTGGGGAGCCTCAGGGAGAGTCCTTGCCGTGGGGTCCTCCATCACCCTCTGGTTCTGATGTGCAGGAGGAGTCTGTGCCCTGTAGCAAGGATAAAACAGGCCTGCAGGGGCAAAGGGGGACCAGTATCAATGTCCTAAACAGACCAAAAACATTGGTACATAGCACAGATGCACTGTGAGACACCAGCCCCATTGTCAGCCTGGAAAAAAGGGGAGATGGAGCAACTGAAGCACCTATCTGGGACCACTTCGTATCTCTCAGCCTTGCTCCAGCTATCCCAGACCCAATACACGTCTTTTTCTGGTGCTCAGAGAAGGTACCCTGCACTTCAGAGGAGGCAGGGTGCACCCAGGAGGAGCAGCGAGGGATTTTCCATGGCTGGTGCTGTTCTGCAGTAACCACCTTCCGCAGGAGCACAGGATGGAGATAGAGCAGATGCAACAAAGTGGGTCCTCCCGTTCGGGTGCAAAGCAGCCTAACCCAGCACCAACAAGAGAAAAAAAACCACGGGTTCAGCAGGGTTTGGCTTAAAGCAATGCCCTGCGGCGTCCCGACGGTTTCCCTTCTCCTCCTCCCGCTCAGCCCTTCAGCAAGGCTCCCACCAGAGACTCCATCCCCGTCCCGGGTGCTCCCAAGGCGCGCAGTCGGGCTGAGCCCCCTGCAGGTGTCCGCTCCCCACAGCCGCGGGCCATGGGCTCGACGCCGGCGCTGAGCAGCTGGGCTCCAGCGGGGACGCGCTCGCAGCTGCAGTCCCGCCAGGGCCAGGGTCGTGTCTCCAGCCGCCCCCCTCCTCTGTCGGAGCCGTCCCAGCGAGCCGGGTCCAAGGGGTTTGGTCTAGGCCAATCTCCCAGAAACTCTGTCATCATGCAGTGCATCACGCACACTCCCGGATCCACATTACACAGAGCATGGCCCCGGTCCAGCGCCTCTTAAAGTCAGTGGAAAAACCCTCCCTTGCTACAATGGGAGCTGTCTCGGGCCGTGTATCTGACAGACACCATGGAGCGGGAGAAGTTGTTGTAACCTGGGACTACCTTGTGGCCCCAGAGCTTCTTCTGGAGTGGGACAGTGCAGCGTGTCTGCAGAGCGGGTGCTGCTAAAACCAGTTCCCAACCTTGCAGCAGCCTTTCACTGAGCATTTAAGGAACCATTGTTACCTGATCCATGTGCTCCGAGTGCAAGGGAACCGCTCAGGTTTCCAACTGCACACATCATCTGATGCTCATAAAACAAGCTGATGTGTCTGGGAAGCCCAAAGACACATTATTTCAGTGAGGAAATAATACTTTAAAAAACACCCGCAGGGACAGACAGAGCTGGTGGCTGCTCTCCCCTGCCTACCTGTGGTTTTCCAGCAAAGCTAATGTTCTCTGATAAAACTGACAATCTCCTTATAAAGGCAGGATCTGCTTTGCCTGTAAAAGGGAAACTTTGGGGAAATTTTACATGCCTCTCTC